GGGAGAGGTTTGCTGTGAGCCTCGTTTGGCGGCGCCAGATTAGTTTTGGGAGGCCTTTGCTTTTGCTGTCTTCACAAGGCTTAATTTCTCGATAGTTAAGGTACCATACATGTACGTGTTTAAATGTTTAGCAGCAGTTGTTGCTAGTTCTGAGGTGAAGTTGCGGAACGCTTGATCCTGAGGCTCTGATAGAATAGCGCGAGCGTGAGAAGAACAGTGTTTATCGAGAATTCGGGCTAATGAGCCAAATAAAGTTTCTACTTCATGATCTTTCGGGACTGCTAATTGAGCGCTTTCGAGAAACAATTGAAAGGGGCCGAGTGTTTGATTCCCAAAAGTGTCATCGGACAAGAGATTTTGATTTGAAAGAGAGTTTTAGGGGGCGTCGAGGTCAATAGGTGGGACTAAGCAATATTTTCTTGGAGACCATGATTCATTCTTGACATAGTCGCAGGTTGTGAACAAGTTGTTAAGAGATGCTGCTATTTTTTTTGCATCAGATTTTAATTACGTATGCAGCTTTTTAGTTATGACACAATATCAAAGGAAAAGTACAGAAAAGATGACTCAATTTACAATAGGAGCACTCATGCCTCAAATCTCATTTGCAAGTACCATAGCGAAGTTATGGTGGCTTTTTCTTCACCCCAAGTCAACCCTCATCCGTCAATACTCACCCAGGGGAACGTGTCAAAAACCCTTAGTTATCCAGACATGCCTCCATCATCTTTCAACTCTTCTCCGCGCGAGTTGTGATCTGAGATGTATTCTTCCCAAGTGGAGTGGGTGCCCAGACTGCTAAAACTATACTAGAGAACACCACCAGGAGGCGGATCACGGCACCTTCCATCGTTGACTTGTGTTGATAATATCAGCTGCACTCTAGCAAGCGAAATCTTGGCGCATACAAAGCTCAATTCGTAAACTCTTGCCAAAAATTCAAAATCACACGCTCGTCGAGATTGTATCTATCCTCCGTGTCGTCTTGCAAACTTTTCCTGGTCCCTCTCACATCTATCCCAAAGAACTGTCTCCCAGATTTGTGCGCCACGCTTTGCTTCCTCCGTCGGGTGTAAATATCGGCGTGGGCGTGTATTTGGCGACCAGCTGAGGCCCGAGAAAGTCGAAAAGAGGTGTGGTCATTGGAATGAGGATGTGCTAGATCTTACTTGTAGACTTGATGTGACTAAGGATGGAGTCAAACTCGTTGGGAGTGAAAGTTTGACGTGGTGGAGTAATTTGGATCGTTGCCTCACGGGCCAACCTCATTGGTTCAATGTGCTAGATAGTCCTAGACTCAAGTAGTACAATAACCACACACAACCTCATTGGTATTGCGAAATATGACTGAACTTGGCTCTGGGAGAATATTTCACTCCCAGGTTTGTAGTGGACACCGCGTACAGGTGTTCAGCCTTGCCCTCCGCTGTTCTTTGTTAATGTAGTTGAAGCTCGAATATTTATTTGTATCTATTATTATTATTTCATTTTATTGTCCTGTCTGAGTCTATGACTATGTAGGATTTGCAGGTCCTCTCTGCCTACAGGCCAAGGATAGCTATGCCAGTAGTATATTCCCTCCTATGCCTCCCATACAGCTCCCCTCAAACGGCACCACCCCTCACAAGTCCTCATTCGATCATACGCTTAGAGGAGCCCCTATCCCTTCATTATCTCCCCTCTCCAGCCAACGAAGCGATGGCCATTTGCGGGTGTATGGCAGCCGGGAAAATTCACAAAAACCACTGAGTGCGGGACTCTTCTAATACCGACATTAGGACTAAATCCGAAGACATATTGCCCCTTCTGAAGCGTTCGAAGAGGCTTGCTAGCTGGGCGCTGCAGACTTGTGGGTACCTCGGGAAATTCACACTCTGCCCTTCTAGCCTCCTTCCAACTCCTTCCCGAAGGTCGTGCCGAAATTTCAGAAAAGTCTTGACAGAACGTGATTGCTGTATGGTAGCTTAGCCTAACTTCTTTTGTGCCGTCCAGGGCGCTGGGGACTGACGTATTTGTTTCTATTTTCTATCGGGCGAAGGCGAACGCTATTGCTCCGTCGCATAAGGAAAATGGCGATTGCAAAAGAATCTAAAGTAATTGTAGCTATCTAGTAGGCCACGTTGTGAATACACACGTTACTACAAATTCTGTACTTAGTTTCACTTCGGTATTTACTTGAATCAATGCGCTCTACAACCTCAATGACTGAGGGGTCATTACTTCCTAAATAGGTTATGAGCTTGGACTGTCGCTTGCTCCATCTTCTTGTATCGCCCGGAGTTTGATACTATATTTGTTTTGGGCAAGTGTAAGGGCATATGCTTTACTTGCGCCAAATCAATCCAATAAGAAGGTCGTCACCTTCTTGAATCCAAGACAAGGCCTTCGCCTTAGATTTGTAATCACTGAAGAGCAGTGAATGACCGTCGCCTGAGAAGACCGGAGGTTATCGCCTTCGTTAAAGAAAGCATAGGTCTAGCACTGAAGATCGGGGTCGCTGCAAAACCCTCATGAGGAATGATAGTTCCTAAACGCACCGGTAGCCAGCCCGTCGATGGACTTACGGAGGGAGAGCCCATGGGTCAAATGAGTCAACTCGAAAAATCTAAAAAAACACAAACCTGTCAGCTTCAGTACGAAAGCTGCTCCCAACATTAAAATCTGACAGCTACTTTACGACAGCTGTCACAATTAGAATTATTCGACTCTCTTCCGAAGTTTGTCGAATCCTCAACCTGACAATTCCTATCCGAGAACTGTCGCAAATTTTTCGCTGCTGATTTCCGATAGCAGTTCGAACCTCAACTCAGTAGCTCCATTTCAAAAGCTGCTATTTATACTCTCAAGACTTCTCTTCTTCTAGTCTTCGCATTTATCTAAGCAGAGGGATCTTCGTCAAGTTACTGATAACAAAAGTCTATACAATAGCCTAAGGCTTCAACATTAACACCCTCTCAACGGCTATCTTCGTTAAATTTTATATTGTCGTAGAGGAGATTAAGTCAAAAAGTAGAAGAATAATGGATGACAAAAATACCTAAGCAAGATAGAAAGAAACCCAAGTGGAGCTTGGTGATGGTATGAGAGAGCTGTCACACGGTACGCTCTTGGATAAAAGTCTTTGGAAGGGATACACTAGTGGGGCATTTTGCTTGTAGAGGGAAACGAGACAATAGAACACTAGTGATTTGGATGGAATAAATACCGGAACAACCACGGCACGGAAACTGTGGGAGTGTGTTTGAGAGCTGAGAAAGTCTGACACTAAGACGCTAAATACTGGGGGAGCCTTGGAAGTTAATAACATCAAATTGAAAGGTTACTCTGGGAATGCTTAGGACTCTACGGTGTTCGTGGGGGAAAATGAGAGGAGATGAATCAGTTCCAAAGGAAACATTTCTTGGATTGATTCATCGCAAGTTGAAAGACCAGTTTGGGAGCAGACAACTAATCATTCAAGTAAATGTCTAATGAAACATAGATATAGGAAGACAAGGAATACTCCCAATTAGTCTATGGGAGAGTGTTAGAATTTAGAATAATTGGGGCTATCAAGTAGGCCACGTTGTTGATACCCACGTGACTGAAAATTCTGTACTTAGTTTCACTTCGGTACTTGTTTAGATCAATGCACTCCACAACCTCAATGACAGAGGGGTCATTATTACCTTAACATATATTTATAAGTCTCTACAGAAGTCACCTTTCCTCTTTGTAGACAATCTCAATCACCAGATTAGACCTCGTCAATCTCTCCTATGACCTTTACCCTAAAGATACTAAGACGCCAAATTTTGGGGGAGCCTTTGAAGTTACCAATTAGACATTGAAAGGTCACTCTAGAAAAGCTTAGGACTCTATAGTGCACGTAGGGAAAAGGAGAGGAGATGAATCGATACCAAAGGAGACCCAGCTTGGGTTGATTCACCGAAAATTCAAACACAAGTTTGGGAGCAGACAATTACCCGTTCAAGTAAACGTCCGATGAATCAAAGATACAGTACGACAACGAATACGCCCAGTTAGTCTAAGGGGTAGTGTTAGAAGTAAGAGTAATTGGGGCTGTCATGAAGACTACGTTGTTGATTTACGCGTGGCTACAAATTCTATACTTATTATTACTTTGGTAGTTACTTAAATTAATGCATTCTACAAAATCATTGACTGAGTAGTCATCATTACCTGAATATAATGTGAATAAATAAAAATTAGAACTCTTCAGTCAAAAAATACGACATAACACCGTGTCACCCGGATCTTTGAGAGTTTCTTCGAGTAGAATTACTAAAGTATTGAATATTTGAATTCACATTTCTGAAGATATAGAGATATGGAATATTTGGTATTCAGTTTTGTTTTTTCAAAGTAGCGAGTTGAAGGTTGTATGAAGTTAAATTTTGTAGATGTTTCTCTTGTTGTGTCTGACTTCTCTGATATTACATGCTAGAATCTATTTGTTGATTCCCATTCTCTGATTTACTCGATAATCTTGAATAAATGTACGAAAATGATTATGAATATTTCAACATAAACCACGAGAAAAGGTCACTGTGACTCTTAAAGGTAGGATTAAAGTCAGTCTATACTTTACTGACAGAATCGGAAGTTTTTATTCGGAAAATTGAATTAGTTCATGTATCTAACGTATTAACCGCCGCACTAGCTATAGTGCAAGAAAGAAGTTGCTCCTTTCAGTAGACCTTATAGTAATAATCAATTTGTGAATAGGCCTAGAAGTTTGGGTTTAGAATCCAATGAGCCGGAATAAAGTAACCCTGACCTAGAGTAATTAATGGCTTTTAAAGATAGTATGGCCGTCAAGTTTCTCTGCCTATTGTCATAGAAGATTCAAAAAGTGGAATCCAAGAGCTTTTTAGGCAGAAGGTAAATGGGTTGAGTGGTGGAGAGATTCTTAGTTGTGGTATTACCATTTCGATAGAAAAATTATAAGGTTGATTCCTTTGATTGTTCATTCGATTGGACAGCGTGTTACGAAAAGTTTAATGGCTGCCATTTACTTTCCTAACATGTTCATATTGATCAAACCCATAAATTGGTCGGTCGAGTCGTTTTAAAACAAAAATGACCTGTAAAGTTGTGAGCTTTGTTTTTTACCTTTGGTTCTGTAGCGGATTCATAAATACGTCATTTACAATCACAGTCTTTCTCTGACCATGCTCAACAACATCACAAATTTCCTTGAGTACCTATTCATGTGAGTATTTTAAACGTATGTTTAGAGCAAAAGGTAGCTAATCTACGTTTTTCAAATAAGACTTGACGGTATTTCTAATTTCGTCGTAAATGCTGCCTGAGATACGCTTTACGCCACCTCGGCGAGCTAAACGCCTTGAATTCGTCAGAAATTCGTATTATGCTAATGGTTGTAGTGCTCTACCTGATATCGCCTTTAGTTAAGGCTCTTATGTTATCTTTGGTGAGTTTTCTTTTGCCAGTTAGTTTGAAATTCCACAAAGCACTTTTTGCTTTCAACAAACCTCATCCGCTTCGTGCCCATAAAATTCCTAGTAGCGCCTATTCCTTTTGATGCTAAATTAGAGGCGTAAACCTTTCCACTACGGCTCTCCATATTTTGGCTTGTGATTTATAAATCTGCAGGCTGAGAATCGATGCGGAAAGATGGCCCACCGAGCCAGGTTTATGATCTATAAATTGGAGAAATTCCCAGAGCTGGCCCTAATGTAAATCAAATCGTGTCAATTAACTGGCATGGAGTCATGGGTTGGATAAAGGTAGTTTTCATATTCTGAGACCCACATGAAACAAAAAGTCTAATGTCTAGTCTATACGACATAGTTGCCTTGGAAGAAAGGCATATTACAAATCACAAATTAGTCCGAGATACTGAACTTCGATAAACAGAACCATCAAGCAGGCCCATTAGAGAAGCTTCTGTGATATTTATACTACATTACTAAGGTTTATGAACTCGATGGCATTCAATATATAATTCGATTAAGTCAACCGTGATGGCTTTATAGAGCCATCACTCTCACACGTTCAACTTATTAGTACTTTATTTATTTAACCCTCCAGACGCCGCGACCCATTATGACAATAATCTTATTCTGAGATGAAAGTAGCCTCAGTAAAGAGCTGGCCTTCCTCAACGATTTCTTCTTCACCATTTTTTATCCTCAAAGTAGAATTTTCTACAAAAAACTATAACTGTTAAGCGAAGTCAACCAAATTTCTGGGTAAATACCTGATAAATATATGGCTTGGTTCCTACAGCTCCAGCTACGATCTGCTTGACAAAAACTGGCAATTCTGCCATAACGTCTATTCTGTCGGATCTCTCACCTAAAGACCCTTCGATTACGGCATGAACTTTATCTCCTTTATCGGTTTTTTCTATCCATTCATACTTCGCACTCTCAGGTACTAGCCAGTTGTTATCCTCGTCACATCTGACTTTTGTGTAAGAGATGAAGTTAGAGGCGCTAGCCATGGTGATCTCATTGTCATGTACAATACCACCGACATTTACAGTCGTCGATCCATATGACTTTGGGGTTGTAAATTCCATCATGATGGCCGTGTATTTAGGTCCCTGAAAATTTACAAAATTCCACTTGGCGGCGGCATGATGCGGCTTCATCCCTTGCAAGGCATGGACAAATAGACATAAGCCTTTGAAATTGATAGGTCCATCTTTGGTCACTATCAGACCTTCTACCTTATTTCTTGGCCAGAAAGTGTGTCGCATGCTTCCCCATGGACTACTCATATTTGTCCCATAAAGTGTTTTGCCATCTTTTCCAACTTGAAACCCTGGTGCAATTTGCGATATTGTGAGGTTTACAATCGAATTCTCGTTTGAAGTTGACTTGACAGTATATTGCTTACCGTTCTCTGAAATCTCTATCGCGCAATTTGAAGCATAGAAATTGAATTTATCTTCGCTGAATCCAACATCAAACAATTGATCAGTAGACCATAGGTGTGGCTTTGGATCGTTCTTAGGATAAAAGATCTTAGTGTTGAACTGGCTGGTTCTTCGCAAGCCACTGAACCGGATTAGTAGAAATCCTCTGAAAATAAATTTGAAATCTCACACGACATTACTGTGGATAACTTGTACTATTCCAATGTGGCCGGACTCTGCGTGCAAATAGAAAGTTTGCGTTTCCATAGATGTCGATTCCATGTCCACCCATTTTACGTCATCTTTTTCCAGTAAAGTAAATGGCGTTGTCTCGGCTTGTGTGGCTATGGATCGTATCGCAGAGGGTCCATAAATTGGCTCTGGGGTTCCTGTGACATTGGCAAGCCTAAATCAACCAGAAGGTATTGGTAAAATACTTTGGCTAAAGAATAAAGAGAGATAATTATCAAAAGAAACTTACTGCTGTCTTGCCCAGTTCATCATTTTGGTGGGAATACTCTTTATCGCTGACAGGTATCTTGAGAAAATTCGATGATTACCAGCAATACTGATGAGGGTCAGGCTTCACCCCGCCAACCTACTAATGTTAGCAGGGTTTGAAATTGTAACAAAGTTGTCTCGGGTAGGACGCGGGGCACATGCGTAAATAGTGACGTCGCGTGAGCATAATGAATAACGGTGCAAATTTATGTTCTGAGCTACCAAGCTTAAGTTGATTGATTGGTTGATTGGAATTTTAAGACCCTGCTGGGTCATAGACTATGAAATAAGCGGCGGAGGGCAACACTGAATACCTGTACGCGGTGTCCTCTACGAGCCTGTGAGTGAAATATTCTCCTAGGGCCAAGTTCAGTCAAATTTCGCAATACCGAACAAGTTGGCCCACGAGGCAAAAATTCAATTTACTCCTCCACGTCGTTTTTTTACTCCCAACGAGTTTGACTTCTACCTAAGTCTCATCAAGTCTACAAGTACGACCTAGTACACCCTCATTCCAATGACCACACCTCTTTTCGACCTTCTCTGGCCTCAGCTGGTCACCAAATACACGCCCACGCCTATATTTACACTCCAATGAGGACACAAAGCGTGGCGCACAAATCTGGGAGACATTTCTTTGGGATGGACGTGAGAGGGATTAATGGAAGTTGACAAGATGATGCAAAGGAAGGATACAATCTCAAAGGGCGTCAAATTCCGAATTTTTGGCAAGGAGTTTTACGGATTGGGCTTTGTGCGCGCCAGGACTCCGCTTGCGAGCGTGCGGCTGACACTATAAAAACAAGTAAACAATGGAAGGTGTCGTGGTCCGCCTCCTGGTGGTGTTCTCCGGTATGGTTTGAGTAGCCTGGGCACCTACTCCACTTGGGAAAGAGACACCTTCGATCACAACTCGCGCGGAGAAGAGTTGAAAGATGATGGAGGCATGTCTGGATAACTAAGGGTTTTTGACACGTTCCCCTGGGTGAGTATTGACGGATGAGGGTTGACTTGGGGTGAAGAAAAAGCCACCATAACTTCGCTATGGTACTTGCAAATGAGATTTGAGGCATGAGTGCTCCTATTGTAAATTAAGTCATCTTTTCCGTACTTTTCCTTTGATATTGTGTCATAGCTAGATAGCTGCATACGCAATTAAAATCTGATGCAAAAAAAAAAAAATAAGCGGCAGAGACTTGATTTGATTTCATTTAGCCTATTCAGGTACCCTATGGGCCCATGTAGGTATGTCTAGCTATCATGTTTACACAGGAGGAAACCAAATTCGGTAAAAACCCCCCACAACTGTCCGTCTCGTGTCTATTCGTTTTCAGAGGTTTCCTGCAAGAAGTGCGTTTACACTGTACGTCCAGTGTGAATACCGTCCTACCCTTTTCCCGATCGCTCAATCCTTTCGCTGACCGTTGTCTCAACTTGTTCTGCAAGCCGGAACTGTTCAAGCCAGCCGTTTGTAAGTATCCACTCTGTAATTCTCTTCATGACTTCCGGGCTGTTCATCATAGCTTCGAAAGACCTCTCTTTTGCCTGTTGCAGCACCTCTACTCTTGTCTTAGCCCATTGAGGACAAGCCATGACCATACGTTTCACGTTTTGTGACGGATATCCACACTGGCACTTTGGATTTGCCACTCCAGGGACCTTTCTTCTACAAAGATAAGAGTTGAGGCCGAATTCTTCACCTTCCAGTGGTGCCGGTGTAATCGCTCAGTATGCTCTGCATATCTGGGATAGCCAAGAAGAATCGCATCCGAATCGAAGTCGAAAGCAAACACATGCACCTCTCCATTTGACGACTTCTCAATCATGCAGCACTCATCATTATCTTCTCAGTCCTCAACCTCTTTTTAACCACACATCATCTCGACTCGACGACCGATAAAGGCGTCACCCCAATTGTAAACAGGAGCTTGCCTCAATCATTACCGGCCATCACTCACTACAAATTTACGACGCTATTTATACCCGCAAGGAGGAAATTAAGTCATAATATACAAAGTTGGGGTCTTGATTTATGGGGGACTGCTGCTCTAATGGGGTTATATATCTTGAGGAAGGACAGGCGGCTGAGCTGTGGAGCGATAGGGGAAAGGGGTCTCTGAAGACCATGCTGGGACTGACATTTTCGAGGGGTCTTCAACTTTGGATTTTTTGTGAGCGCCAAGACCAAGATTTCGGCTAATTAGCCAGGAGGGCTTCTTTTGTCGATGAGTCAACGGCAGTCCCCAGCGCCCTGGACGGCACAAAAGAAGTTAGGCTAAGCTACCATACAGCAATCACGTTCTGTCAAGACTTTTCTGACATTTCGGCACGACCTTCGGGAAGGAGTTGGAAGGAGGCTAGAAGGGCAGAGTGTGAATTTCCCGAGGTACCCACAAGTCTGCAGCGCCCAGCTAGCAAGCCTCTTCGAACGCTTCAGAAGGGGCAATATGTCTTCGGATTTAGTCCTAATGTCGGTATTAGAAGAGTCCCGCACTCAGTGGTTTTTGTGAATTTTCCCGGCTGCCATACACCCGCAAATGGCCATCGCTTCGTTGGCTGGAGAGGGGAGATAATGAAGGGATAGGGGCTCCTCTAAGCGTATGATCGAATGAGGACTTGTGAGGGGTGGTGCCGTTTGAGGGGAGCTGTATGGGAGGCATAGGAGGGAATATACTACTGGCATAGCTATCCTTGGCCTGTAGGCAGAGAGGACCTGCATGTCCTACATAGTCATAGACTCAGACAGGACAATAAAATGAATCAATAATAAAAAAATAATAATAAACTTCGGTTGCGAGAGTGCAGCTGAGACTGTAAAAACAAGCCAACAATAGAAGTTGCCGCGTTCCGCCTCCTGGTGGTGTTCTCTAGTATGGTTTGAGTAGCCTGGGCACCTACTCCACTTGGGAAAGAGACACCTTCGATCACAACTCGCGCGGAGAAGAGTTGAAAGATGATGGAGGCATGTCTGGACAACTCAGGGTATTTGAGACGTTCCCCTGGGTGGGCATTAACGGATGAGGGTTGACTTGGAGTCAAGAAAAAGCCGCCATAATTTCGCAGTGGTACTTGCAAATGAGATTTGAGGCATGAGTGCTCTTACTTTTCATTGAGTCATAATTTCTGTACTTTTCCTTTGATATTCTGTCATAGCTACATAGCTGCATACGCAATTAAAATTTTGTGCAAAAAAACTAATTGATTACTGCATTTTCTTGCTGTAATTCATGCGTCAATTATTATCAGCTGTTGATAACCTGATTCAACGATGAAGAGAATATTTTACTGCATAAGAGACTGAGAGAAATAACTCGATTATTCTATACTTGAAAAGATCTTACTTTCTGATAACTATCTTTTCCTTGTTTATATACGTTTCCCTGACCTACATCTATGATGCAAGGAACTTTTACCACGTAATATGGAATAGTTTATATTTTTCTATTCAACTCTGGCTATGCATTGCTGATATCTGATTAGTAGATCCAGGCACCTCACAACACCAACAACTATCTAGTGGAAAGTAATAAGAGCTATAAATATTGTTCTGTTAAAAAGAGTATTGCGATTGACGAGTCACGTGGTATATTAGTTAAAATCTGGAATTCTTATTGTTATCATATCTTCCGGTTCTCTGTTATTTTCAAGGTCATTACGACGTATCGGCGTCAGAGGCACCGAATTGAAGGTTATGGAGGATCTATTCTGCAACGCTTGCTTTCTTTAACACTAATTTAAATAAGTCCGTTACGCTGGAAATGTAGCAATAAGACATTCGTACATTTATTCATACATCATTGTTGTAGGTCTTCACTTCTTGCCCTTTTTTTTATTAGGAACAAGTTTAAAGCCGGACGTCGGCTCTTCCTTTGGTGGTCCCTTCTTTGCCACTTCACTCCAGCCGCCTGACTTATCACTTGAGTTGAACGCAGTCCCAGGCCCGCTGTTTGACGGCTCAATTATTCCCTTTTCAGCATTATTACGTCTTCTAATAAATTCGACCGCAAAATCATTGCCGTTCATTGTTTGTGACTGAGAGTAGATACTATCTGCAATAATTGAGGGTTCAGAGGGAAAGCTGCTAAGCATAACCGCAAAATCATTAACTAGTATAGTCAGCTCTAGATCTGAGGACGATGGGCTTTTCTTACCATTAATTCCTGGGTTCAGACCTTTCTCTAAAGTAGCCTTCGTCCACTTGGCTAGTTCTTCTCGAGCAACATTGACGTTATTGGCATTGTTGTATCCAGGAGTTGTGGAGTTTCGAGTGGGCGTAGCGGGCTTTGTATTGAGACGGACCGGTAGTGCCTGGCTTTGAGAACTGGCTGTGCGTACAGCTGATGATGCTGTAGATGAGGATGGGCCAACTGGAACTTTGACTTTTCCACCAGCACCAACAGTAAACCATGCAGGACCTCCAGTAGGATTTGAGCTTGGTGTGGTCTTGCTAGCAAGCTCAGCGTAACGCTTACCACCATGAGTACTAATAGGAGACTGTACGGCAGAAGCTGCTGCCAATTTTTGTTTACGCAACTCTTCCTCCCTTTGTATATCAGCTAGAGTCTTTTGCTTGTTAGCTGAGGCTTGAGAATTAGCAGCTGCAGGTTTTGCCCAGACAGACTTGGTAGGCGTCGCATTCCCAGCTGTCACGCTTCCCCATGTAGAAGTTGTGGGCAGCCCGGGAGTTGGTGCAGTAAGCTGTTGTGCTGCAATTAATTTTAGCTCCTGCTCGCAACTTGCACGACGAGCGGCATTGGCAAGCTCCTCAGCCTCAGCCGCTTTTTTTTCCTCCGCTTCAGAAATAGCACGCAACGAAAACGCTTTCGGAATCTCTCCCGGCTCTTTTGCCCATGGGGCAATTGATGGGGTTGAGATCGTGGCTTCCGGGGTTCTTGATGGAGAGGTTGATTCCGAGGTCTGCTTTTCTGTTTGATTAGAGTCACATTTTTGAGAAGAGGCCGTAGGTGATGTGTTTTTAATAGGCTGCTGGAATGGTACTGACGAATTAACGTTAAAATTGACCCAAGGGGAGTTAGGTTGTATTGTTAAGGTCGGTGATTTTTTCATGGATGCAGTAGTCTGAGATTTTTGTGTTATAGAAACAGATTCTGAAGTTTGGAATTCAGAATTTACTTCCGGATATAGTAATGATGGTTCATTGTATGGTTTTTTTGACTGTAAAATCTGCGTATTACTGTCTGGATCATTACTGATTGGAAGAGTAGATTGAATTTGTGCAGATTCTTCTTTTTCGCGCAGTTCTTTAAATTTCTCAAACTCGCTTATTCTTGCTGAAAAGTCAATATCTTCAATCATTGGGGTTTTATTCTGAGCTTCAGACTGTCCAAACATTGTTGTGACGTGGGCTGATTGAGATGGTCCAACTGTGGGTGGTGCATTACTTAAAGCATGTCTATCTCTTGTACTTAGTCTCAAAAGATCTTCATCACGATAAAACTCTCCCGGTACAATGTTAGAATTAATTGGCCTGGATATGCCATCAAAAAAACCAGGACCTGAAGATAAAGGAGGTTGGGGTGGCATTCCAATCGGCGACGAAATATTTCCGAAGTTAGACTGACTTTGAAGATTGTGGACACTAGAATGATGATGAAGAGCAGAAGGGATACCGCCCATTTGCATTTGTTTCATACTAACCTGCTGCTGTACTAAAAATTCTCTTTGGCGGGCCATTAAATATTGCTCTTCCTGCTTACGTCTTTCCAAGTTGTTTTGTTGTTCGGCAGTCAAGGTTGTTCCAAAGCTAGGAAATGAGCTGGCAAAAGGAGGCTGGACAGAGCCCGTTTGACTTGGGCCGGTTCCATGGCCTGATGCTGGTGGTGTAAATGCGGCCCCTGGCTGTGTAGATGGCTGGCCGTGAGGTATACCAATTTGTGGTACAAGGAATGGTTCTCTAGAATTACCGATTCGCCTTATCAATTGACCAAGCGGCTCAAAATCTGCATCTTCTAGTTTCTTAACGGATAGATCAGGTGTAAAGAATGAGGCTTTGTACCAATCATGCATTTCGAGACCCGAGAATGGTCCTTGGACTTGAGCTTGGGGATCAAGATATACCCATCGCATCCTATCTGGCATTACCATCATTCGTTGCTGGGAATTTGGTAGCTGTTGGTTTGTTGTGGAATCTGATGAGGCCTGGGACTGTTGGTAGGTGGGAAGAGCAGAATTACTGAAAGATGATAGGGATTGAATGTGCGAGCCTTCGGGTGTTAGATTGGCAGAGGTAGAGCGAGTATTTTCAGATTGAGAGAGAAGGTTTTCAAATACATGCTTATTAGATCGTATTGAGTTCTCATTATCTCTTGGAAGTGGGAAAGCATTCCTTGCAATGACGCCAAGGGAGTTAACATGCCGGACTTCATGATCTGTAGAGTTGTCAATCTCTGTATTTTGCATTTGTGCTTGCATAGCGGCAGGAAAAAGAGTTCCAAGTTTGCTACCACGACCGGCAGGAGAAGGGTTGCTGCCAGTTCCAGCTGAGCTAAACATATTTGAGAGACCCACTCCAGAGTCTATTTCTCCTATTGATCCAAATAGAGAATTTCCGAAAGCCGATGGGAAGTTAGATCGATTCTCACGATCAGAAATATTCGAAGAGTTCACGCCAGGCCACCCACTCATGCCCCCTATTGTACCAAGCGAAGGTAGTCCACTTAGTTGAGGGAGTATCCGAGATCCTGCCACACTTGAGGTCTGGCTCCGATCACTCCCCTCAAGGGCAGCACCTGAGAAGCCACGGGGCATATTTACGAAATTTCCCTGTCCGTTTTCTGATATCCCAATTTGTGTCTGATCTTCCATGTTATACTTGTCGTTACTATGATGAATTTCGACTGGAGGACCTGGAGGGCTACAAAATGGGTTTGTGTCAGAGGGACTTAATGGCTCAGTTTGCTCGTTGGCAGCTTTTGGTGTGTTTTGATTGAGCTCACGGTGAAAAGTATCGCCGAAGCCAAGTATTCCTGACATACCAAAGTCTCCAGAGCTTCCTCGAGCAGGTGTATCGAGGCCATGTGTTTTTTGGTGAGCCTGCGCGCTATTATCACCAGTTGGCCCTTGGTTCCCACTTTGTATATCACCAGCGAATGGATCGGTATCAGTTCTTTGTCGAGGCCTCCAGGATCTTTCAGCCGGCTTTATTGGTTCTTCTATATTTTCCTTAGAAGTTGTTTGGAAAAATCGGCTCTCTACCCTAGTCGACGTACTTCTCTTATCGGCTGGTACTGGGGAGCTAGCTGGGTTAGATATAGCAAAGTTGCCGAATGCACCCATCGGCGATGAAGTCGTATTTATCGATGAGCTCCATGTTGATGATCCGGGTCCTAACATATTAGCTGAAGAATTGTTGCGAGACGGTCCATTAAGAGGTATGTTGAGCCTAGTCTCTTCAGATCGTTCTTCGAAATTATCTTTGTGGTCAATCCTGCGTCCATGATAATGAGGGTTGTCTTCACGAGAGAAACGGGACGAACCATTAGGAGAGGATATTCCGGTAACTGCGGATTCTGTTATGAGCTGCCTTCGAGTACTAGCCCTATTAGAAGTGGATGATGAGTGACTAAAGTTGCCAGGTCCTTGGCCGTGAGAGAATGTTGGCTTGTGTCCTGCAGATGTTGGATCCTTTGAAGTTTGTATTAAAGGCTTCAGCGAGGAGTTAATGTCGCCATTGAAGAGCTATTTTGTCAGATTTTTCAAGAAACGGCTAAAGTAGTATGTAGTTACTTACAGCCTTTTCTTGTTCTGACATCTCTTCCAGTCCAACAGGATGAGTGTCTCCACTGGAGTCCCAACATAGATCAGGGACATGGCAGTCTCTTACATCGCTAGCCTTTCCCCAGGCACTCCGATTGCTTGATCCATTGTTTTCACCAGGAGCCCAGCCATCGGCGTATAGATGTGATACGTTTCCTCCATTTGCTGGCCCAGACTCTTGTTGACGTCTATAGATATCTAGTAAATTTTGCTTTGTGTAACGATACTCGTTTGGGTTATCATGAGTTATTTGTTGGGCTATCGTTGTCTCCGCTGGAGGTTGAGTCTGAAGATCTCCAGTTTCAGAGGGCTGGTTTGAGGAGTTCGTATAAGAGCGTCGCAATGTCAAGGTTCCATTGGTGCTCGGCCTACTTTCTTTTTTAGTCCTGGTTGGAGGGCTCTCATCAGTCATAGGATCATTCATTGGGGCTTAGGGAAGGGATTTGCGACAAAATATAGAGCTTCTCTAATACTTGAATCTGAATGTGTAAAGACGTGAGTTATATATGAAAGATGTATAATTGCCAGTGTTTGCTCGTAGCCAGTTCTTAACGTGGAAACTATTCCAAAAATCGAGATGTGATGCAGGATAGAGAATGATTTAATAGGAGTTCTGCGAACGTACCAGTCCCCGCTCACGCGACTGTCAATTCTCCCCCCGATTTTAGGATCACGATTAGATCCTTGTCCTGCAGCTGCTGCAAAGCTTGAAGGCATTTGTGAAGGCATGCTTGTATCTAAAGAACCAAAGATAGATAGTCTAGTTAATTGATTTTCAGAATAAGATTGCGCCAGTAGGTTAGATTGAATTGTCGCAGGTTGATGATGTTTGTGCGTCGAGTTAGAAAGCTATCTCTGAGTTTGATCGTCAAATTCTTTGAGGATTGCGCTGTCTCACGTAAATTTATGCGGCGGGTAATGAGAAATAGAATGCTGTTGGCAGATTCTCAAATTAATTATCGAAAGACATGTAATACTAGACTCACAATTCTCGTTCCGCAACGAGTCCGAGCGTCGTCTACTAGCGCTTGCAAACACGCGAACTCTCGGGTAGCCCTAATCCTATGTCGGGGTTCGAAGGGTTTCGGACGAAGAAAGGCTGTCTTAGATATCAAAAAATAGATTATTTCAAGATATTCAAAGTTCTCGTTTATACAGGTTAAAGCCAATGTCAACTTCCCAAGCTAGGAGACCGAAGCTGAATTTGTCGGTACTACGGTCGATATTAGTCTTGAGTGGGAATTATCTCTAGGCATTTTAGTCCGGACAATCCCAGATTTAATTATGAAGATTATTGCACTACTTGGGCCCATAAATATCTAGCAAATCAGGCTACTACCTAACCCTGGTCACACTTTGTTAAGTACTACTATCCTCTTTTGTTATAAAAGAAAGATCTGTGATTTAATTGCTATGATGGATATCTATTTAGCTCAGCATTTACCCGAGTTATTCAGCTTTCTTTCTGCGGTGCGTTCTACCAAAGTAAAGAAGGTAGCAATTAAAATTATGTAAGCGGGACAATTTCTCAAAAAACCTGTAACCCTAGACAAGCGGATTGTGTAAAACCACCTACATCACCATTCTTTGTAACATTTCGAGGCCAACTTAATCGAATCCACCATCTCCGAGTCAGATGCCGGGTATATTTCAGAAACTCACATGGTAGCCTCTCCTACTTATCCAAGAAAATTATTTGATGATTAGGGCTTCGACCCTACTGTCTGATTTGATCGTGGTTAGGTTCATGATAATGGTGCCAGGGATTATGCTAAGTGATGAAGAAAATGCTGCCGCGAGATTTTTTTAGGATTTTGATGGGAGTGAGAACTAGAGTGTAACTAAATCTCCGCTTTACAGAATCTACAGTGATAACTGGAGCTTCTTAGGGGATGCCGCTGACATTTGCTGAGCCGTAGGCACCTACCAAGATTGAAGTGTAGACTAGATTATATTTTATTATAGCCCTATATAAGTCTATGACTAAGGAGGACTTTTAGAATATATACAGGAAAGAAACTAACTATATCTGACTTGTTAGGCCATGATAACTATGAATTTATTTTTCTTACAGTGAGGAAGATTGAAGTGTAGGTCATGTAAGAAATAAAATTAATGGCCATACTTGCTGGGTTGAGTATTGTAGGATCCCACAATCAATTGTATTGGTTACTTAGAGAGTGAAAGCATTCTGTTTATGAGTTTCTTATTTAGTCCTTACTAAACAGGGACTGTACAGGATTCATGGCTTTTTTTTTTCGGAATCATGGCTACAGTATTTGTAATAATTAGTGTAAAGAATATTATAAACCCTACATCATTGAGGTTGAGAAACGTGGAATTAAGTAACTACCGAAGTGAAACTAAGTACAGAATCTGTAGTCACGTGTGTATCAACAACGTGGCCTACTTGATAGGCCCGATTATTCTAAATTCTAACAGATAGGTTTATAGCCACCTGTATTGGCCCTTTTACTTTTTATACATCATTTAATGTGTATGCAGCTATCTAGCTATGGCACATGACCGGTGCTATGTATACATGAAGGATGACTCTTTTGACGTTAGAGACACTCATGAGGTTTCTTGTGCACGTTAGTAAGAATAAAATGATAAATGTTGACTGTGAAATTCACGGATGTCTCGTGGCTCCGACTACGACAATCTATATGTGTGTAGAGCTTGACACTAGGTGTAAACTTGTATTTCTGTTAACATTCTAACTCCTCCTTATTTTCAATAGTCGTAGACTCAAATTAGATGTAAATGTTTGTTTGTTTGTTTGTTTGTGCTTGTGTTTTATTGTACTACTTGAGTCTATGACTATCTAGCACATTGGGCTCCTCTCTGACCCAGGCCACACCTTGTACAGTGCTCCTATCCTCTTTTGTTACTTGAAAGATCATTGATATATTCCCCTTGATGAATAGCCATTCAGCTCAGTATTTACCCGTGGAATTCAGCCACCTTTTCCACGGAACCTTCTACCCAAAAAAATAACAATGGTAGCAATGGAAACTGCGTGCGCGGGAAAAAGTCTCAAAAAACCTGCAGCCCCAGCCAGGCGAGGCCTAGACACCGGGACCACATGAGGTGCGCATATTCATCTATATCTCCCTTCTTTGTAACAGTCGAGGTCGACTTGATCCAATCCACCATCTCCGTATCGGGTGCTGGGTACGCTCCGGAAACTCATCGGATGGCTTTTCCTCCATGATCAAGGGTGGGTGATGAGTAGGGCTCCGACCCTACCATCTGATCTGATCGTGGTTAGCTTCATGATAGTGGTGATAGGGGAATGTGTTGAGAGATGAAGACGATACAGACCGCGAAAGCGATTGGGAATCCTCTTCGAAGTGAGGACTTTGTTACTCAATCTCGGCTCTGCAGACTCTACAGTGAGAGCTGGAGGTTCGTAGGGGACACCACTGACAGGTGTTGAGAATAGTCCCCCTAGATGTAAATGTAACTCCTCCTTAAATACATGAAATCATCCATACTCCAGATAATGTAACGATCGATGATACATGACAAGTAAACTATCAGAATACAGTAGGGGAGGAGTGAGGTGCTTAGCCGCCCGAATTGTGACCAAAGAATGCGAGGGGTGCATTCTTGTTGGAACATCAAACTCGGCGGCTCGCTTGCCGTGAGACTTGGCGTTTCGCTCGGATTTGGAATTCAGGATCCACACTCATACTTTGGATTTCATACGCAAATAACACAATGAGTTATGCTAGCTTACACAAACAGTCGAGCCTCCTCCGTGAGTACCCACCAAAGGGACGTTTAAAACCTTTGATTATCCAAACATGCCTCCGTCACCCACATATACCAGCGCCGCGAGAAAAGTGATTATGTTTTGCCGGATTTGAACCAGCAATCTACTGTCTCGAGTGGGATATGTGTCCAAGCTACCCAGACTCTACTTGGTAGACCGGCCAAGACGATGTACCACCGCACCATCCAACCATGGTGATGTTTATAGTGTCGCCAGCACGCTCGCAACCGAAGTCTTGGCACGCACAAAGCTCAATTTGTAAAAACTCCTTGCCAAATTTCAAAATCGCACGCCCGTCGAGACTGTATCCATCCTTCGCATCATCTTGGTAACTTGTCCTGAATCCTCTCACGCCAATCCCAAAGAACTGTCTCCCAGATTTGTGCGCCACGCTTTGTGTCCTCCGTCGGGTGTAAATATAGGCGTGGGCGTGTATTTGGTGACCAGCTGAGGCCAGAGAATAGTCGACGAGAGGTGTGATCATTTGAATGAGGATGTACTAGGTCGTACTTGTAGACTTGATGAGGCTTAGGTGTAAGTCGGACTCTATGGGAGTGAAAAATTGACGTGAAGGAGTAAATTGAATTTTTGCCTTGTGGGCCAACTTGTTCGGTATTGCGAAATTTGACTGAACTTGGCCCTAGGAGAATATTTCACTCCCAGGCTCGTAGAGGACACCGCGTACAGGTATTCAGTCTTGGTCTCCCCTGCATTAGCCCTTGGAGCGCCAAAACAGGGTGTTGAGATCAAATCAATTAGTGAATTCATACAACTTCCATTACAACACGCAACACCACACAATTCGTTTTACGAACATTCCAATCGCCTCCACAGCGATCTAACATCCTTATCTCACTTCAACACTTTATCAATATTTATCTTCCCACCACCCCCGAGAGATTCAAGCCCCCTGGACCCATCGTACCGCTGGCGACCATGCCATCGGTACGAGTTACGAAACGCCAGCACCCGCTGGTGGATTACGCCAAGCTCAGACCACGGTCGCGCCTATTGGAATACGAAATTACCATCGATGAGATGGACATTGACAATGCCGAAGCTGCCATCACCACGAAAGTGATGGATACCCCGGAGATCGAGATGATTGACAGGGCCGTCGACGAATTCGTCACCAAAGGCCTGTCCGACTCCATATGGGCTGCCCTAGCTAATTCAGGCAGCTCTGAGCCAAGTCGGCAGACAGAGAAATTGATCCTGCCGTCAGCAACCCCATCGAGAAAGATCGCAGCCTTGCCTACAAGGCTGCCGGGGAACTGACCAAATCACTGTGGCCCCATCCAATGCCGCCCGTGATGAATTCCTGGAAAGAGGTGTTGTAATGGAAGTTGTATAGAGAAGCGTAAGCTGTTAGGCTTGTATTTAATATCAACTAGTGAAGCGAGTTGGGAGATTGAAGAGTCTGAAAACTATAGTGGAGGGTTGTTGATTAAAACCACTTAGTATCAGAGCGCTATTTAAACTAATTACTACATATAAGTGAAGGACACAATTCACTTGTTTATGCTAAATAATTGGGAGGCTGGTCTCAAGGAGCCGTGTTACTAGTATTCCGTAGGGTACGAATTTGGTACAAGTAGGTTACAGGTGTGGAGTATGGTGGTGATTTCTAAGAGTAGGAGGTATAAATTCAGCGTTAGGTATAGGGTTCACGTAAGAAGTAAAGGTAAAATAAGTAGTAGGTGAGAAGGGTACAATAACGGCGGTCTTCTTTAGAGAAGAGATAAGTACGTGAACAATAGGTATGAGTATAAACAGAAGACGTTGCGTGAAGAAGAATACTCCTTCACGCTGGATATACATGTACATCAGATAATAGGACAGCCCTAAGCTCTGTCTCGAACAGTATTACTACGCAATCCCTATGAAACGACCCTATGTTCCTGAGCCTGTCCTAATTGTTTGAGAACTTGATCTAACCCCGAGTTGT